GTGTACGTAAACTTCTGACTTTTAAGAAAATAATAACAAAATTCTCTCATTAGTCTGGTATTTAACAAATAGAAATAATTTTGGTAATCCTAACTGACCTAAAACAGGAAAAGTTTAGTCTGATTTAATGTCAGACAGTGAGAAAAAAAAAAGGGGTTTTATGTCTTTTTATACAGTGTATGTAAACTTCTGGTTTAAACTGTAAATAATTTGACAGCTGGCTCCTAAAGTGAGTCAATCCCCATAGATGTTAAAACGTCCAGCTTTACAGCACAAATAAACATATTTACAGGCTGGTATTAAAAACCGTGTTAGTCTCAGTAGCTAATTTCCCCATTAATGACAACGATACAGGTGTTGACTCTTTATATAATTCACCTCTTCAAATTGTATTAAGCTTCATAACTGTCCTTCAGGAAGCCTATACAGTAAATGGAGATAGCTGATGGTACTAATAAAAACTAGGTACGTGTATGTGTTGGCCCTGTTCAGTAGGTGTTTTGTGTGCTCAGGATTATCAATAAACTATGAAACTGGCTGTTATATTTTTCTCTTTGATCTGCTTGATGTCTTTTTGGTGTCTCCTGGCTGCTTTCTACTTTAATGCTGTTACATTATGTGCAGCGATACCGTCCACATTAATTGCAAATTCATTTCTTGAAATGGCTGACAGAGACATATATTTTTTTTCTTTTTTTTCATATGTTTTAATGCTGCTGATTTACATAGTAGCGAAATATCAGCGCTCACGTTTGTGAGTCGGGGGCTGAATGGATATTGTGCATACTTCCCTCCTTTGCTTCTTGTTGTTGTTTTCAGGGCTCATTGCGAGCTAGGGCTGTTGTTGAAAATGATGCCGTATTGGCTTTGGGGATGTAAACATGACTGCACACGGGGTATTTGCATAATTGCATCCCGGCGATGCTTCATGGAGAGCCTGCTAAAGCTCTTGTCACACATTGTCACATTTTCGCCACACATTTCATGTTCGGCTGAGCATTAGAAACGTTACAACCCAAAGCACTGTGACAGCCCGCTTTACTGTCCTACTCATCATCATATCGCTGACGTCTTGACTGCAGAGCTTCTGTTGCACTGTGCCATTAGTCCTGGCTTATATTCTGTACTAAAGGTCACTTTCTACTTAGTCATTCTAAGAAACATTTAAAAAGAAAATGTCTCGTTATAGAAATGCTTTTCTTGTGACTTCATTGTGCTTGATTCTTTCCTGATGTATCGTCTTAGTTTGCTCTTGCAAATCATGAGGATTTTGGAGTTTAACATTTGCCATCTCAGTTTTGGGGAATTAAGTGTCTTACTGTCACTCCTGATTTATCACTTATGCTGAGCTTAATTTAGACTTGCATCGAGTGACACGAACATAAAAGTCAAATGTATTTTTTTTAGATGATGTGTATTTGCATAATGAATTTGTTTCACACAAGCTCACTGACTGAGCTCTAATTTAACTCTAAAAACCTTTCTGAAGTTGGACAAATACCTACAGTAGCCATCAGTAAACGCAAATGTCAAATAACAAAAGACCAGTACATAAATTAGGAAACAAACACATGATATATTTTTTCTTTATTTTACAGTAAATAGTCTGTGTACAGAATATTTCAAATAAGTTATATTGATGTGTGATAATATTTAAACCAGTGGTTCTCAACCTCAGGGTCACTGAATCAATTTAAGAACTTAAGAAATGATTAACAAGCTTGAATAAAAATGTATTTCTGCTGCACAAATTGTGATTTCTTTATCTTTGTTTTCTGTTGTAAAACAGTGGTGGAACCTTCAGACCTCTACCAGCTCTTTAAATCAATCAGTCTGATAAAGGAACCTCACTCTTTGCTTGAAATGTTCACAGCTGAAATGATCGGTTATTTAATGATTAACTTGTTAATCCACAGAAAACGAATACAACTAGTTATTACAATTGTTTAGATTATAGTTTAATGATTTTTTTTAAAGATACAAATAAATAAAATACACACAAAAAGAAATCAGTTAGGACAACTTATGTTATGGTTTCAGATGTGACTACTTTCTGGTTTAAATGATAGAAAATGAATATTTGGGGGTTTCTGACTTTGGGCTTGACAAAGCAGGACATGCTTTACAATTTTCTGATATGTTTTCGACTAAACTGATAGAGAGACATAACCATCAGGAGATTACTTCCTAATGGAAATAAACATTAGCTAAAGTCCTACTTGATGGCATACAGTATCCAACCTGTGACCAGAGACTCACAAGAGTCTCGCAAACCAAAAACAGCTGGGAACCATTGATTCAAACCGAATTAAAATTATACAGTTACATTACTTTAATAGAACATGACAAAGAAGATCAAATCTTAAGCCACTCTTGATCTGTCGTGTATTACTTTTGCCGTTTCTTTGCAGTAGTTACTTATGAAAGCTGGTTTAAATAGACGTCTTGAATGGCAACATTAATATCTGCTTAAAATGGATCTTAATGTGGTGTCATCGCCACAGAAGATCCGGCCGGAGCAGACAGGGCTTTGGAGAGCCTAATGGAGTTTTAATAGATAAATGTTGGCAGGATGTATCTCAAGCCCCTCAATAACAGCAGGATGTAGAAATCCAGACAATGGTTTTTAAATGGTGATGGATGGCAGCAATTGGTTTCATATGTGCAGATGGGAAGAGCGTTGGTTACTGGCATGCAGGAAGGAGGAGGACACAGATGGATTGAGTGGAGAAAAGATGGCAGCGTGAAGGAGCAGCCTGACGAGCTGAAACCTGCAGGTTGATTGGCAGAGGAAGATGAGGGATGGGTGGAAGCAGCAGCCAGAGCTTATTAGGAAAGCTCAAAGGGACCTTGACAATGTGGTAACAAACTTCTTGGCTGCCGGGGTCTTTGCTGAAGGCCGGCAGCAGCAGGTGTCTGATTTGAAGCGAGGTGTTGCTTTAATGATGTTTCTGTGTTGGCCAGCTTCAGATGTGGCTCTGCCAGCTTGAAAAGGTCACTGCCTTAAGGCTGGACACATCTACTCACGGTGTATTGATTGACTTTATAAAAAGCAAACATTCAGTCATTTGGAGGCTTATGAAGTATTGAAATAGACAAAAGGCAGCAAAAGGTCACCAGTAGAGTAAAGAACACCACCAAATACCTCAATAACACACAGACTTCTCCTTTAACATCCAATAGGTTCGTAAACAAGACAAAACTTTTTCTTTATCTTTACCTCAGTCAGACAATAAAATACATCAAAACTTAATGTTTTTCTCTAAACTATGTCAACTTCTATTTCTCTGCATGATGTCCTTTAAACTGTCTATAGAGCATTACTCATCGTTTAAGGAGAAGGATGATGTCTTTTTTCATGGCATTTGCCAAAATCAAAAGCATCAGAGTAAAATTTCAAGGAATGGATTGAAATGAGTGTTTAATGTCTGGCAAACGGACTAAACGCCTACTTTAGGAGCCAACCAGTTACTGTCCATTTACTTCTAAAGTCAGGATTATCATTTGCAAACTCCAACAGTTTGTAAGACTAACACTTAAAAACTTACATATTCAGAGTGTCTGTGTAGGAGCTGGTCCAGGATGTTACTCTATTATGATGTAGGTAGCATTGGCAGCTCTCTTCTGCTCTCTTTTGGATATAGCAAAGTATGCACTTGTGGCACCAGCCAACCAGTTTCCAAAATGATCACTTTACATTGAGATGTGATGGTTTCAAAATACTAACAACACACAACAATAGCCATAATCCTGGCCAAGCATGTAAGCCCAGCATCCAAACAGGGTTATTTTATTATATATTTGAGGATCTTCTCAGTTGAGTTTTAAGCCTCTATTCTGATCAAAGTCGTTTAATCGGCTTGCAGAAAGTGCACTACTCCAACAGCAGTCAGATTCATTTTTGTTTGCCACCATTTTACGCAAAGATTTAGTTTTGATGAGCGATACTAGATATAAGCTGCCTCAGCTCTTCGCATTTTAAACCATCAAACATGACAGTTAAACTGATGAAAATCGCTGCTACCTGAATGTTTTGTGCTTTTTGCTGTTTTAAAAGAGTTGAGAGTCGAAGTATGGCAAATCTGTGTGTTTTGCCAATCCAGGTGTGAAAACTCAGCAGCACCCAAGTAATTTTTCATGCGCACGCTATTTTTCACTGGCATGTGAGAGCACACTGGCTGTCACAAAGCAGATCAGTGCTGCTACGCTCCAAGGCCAAGATGGAAAAAAACAGTACAAAAAAGAAAGAAGCAGATTTCGATCAAGTTGTTTTCAGCAGATATTAATCTTTTAAATGAATCCCGGACTGGCCCCCTGTTAGCGATCCCACAGATCTGCTTAGGTGGGTTTGATCTTACAATCGTCTTCATAACTCTCTTAATAGGTTTCAACGCTGCACATCAAGAACAATGTGCTGTTTGTTCTTCTCTGTATGTAGATTTTCTACATGGACCATTGATTGGTGTGCTGACTTTTTATGTGGGACATGTGGCTGTAGCATAATATAATGTATGTCATTATGTGCATATGTGAGGCCCTTTTTTTCTTTTTACAAGCATTCTTCTTTTTCTTTTCATTTCATTTCAAAATCAGCCAGCTGGACACAATGTGTTTTAACTGACTGATGGAGCTGATGATAATTAGCTACCTAACCGGTTAAAATATGCAAACTGCAGTTGTCAATTCAGCTGACAAAATGAAGGGTTGCCAAAAATAAAAAAAATAAAAAATCTGAAATGTGCTGAGTAAAACAGGACGTGGATAAATGATTAAGTGTGTTTACTAAGAACCAAGAAGATAGGAAAAGAGCTGACAAAATTAAAGTAGCTGGAGACAAACAGGGGATTAAATTAAATAGCTTTAAGGAAAAAAAAAAAACAGCATGTTTTTGTAGACATAGATTCTGATAACCTTAAACTAACTTTTGTCTGTTTCAGGCTTCCATAGCAACGTGGCTTTAGTGTTCTGTTTTTTTTCAAAGAGCACTTGACACGAAGGGATTTAAACACACTGGAAAAGATAAAACTTTATTTCTCCCTGTCGTGACAATACAAAGTCAACAAGTGCAATAACAATCCAATTGAAAACGGTACTGAACATTCTATCTAGTAGGAAATACATAGACAGAACGTGGTGCACATTATCATCATCACCGCCACACCCAAAAAAGTGAGGTATCAACCACTACAAAGCTTCTGTGTACAGGTGGGTATTCGACTGTAAGGCAACTGTTACCATGACAACCTGGAGAGACTGAAACAGATGTGTGCTTCCTTCTTCCCATCCTCTGTATTTTTTTCTTTTTTTTTTGTATTTCTTTTTTGTAATACGGGAAGAGGGTTGAGCTGATACGATTTACAGTACCACATCACATCAGGCCAGAGTCAAGACTGTTTTCAACAGAACAGAAAACATCACAAAACCAAGTTGTAACATTGAAAAGAAAAAAGAAAGAAAGAAAAAAAAAACAGGGGAAAGACTCCTCATTTGTCGACGAGGGAATCCGTTGTTGACCCTGCTACTGCTCATCAGAAGCAAACTGAAGGTTTTTCTTTTAATTCCCTGGGTGTGACTACTGTATTACATTATTGGTGATGAGAACAAACCGTCGTCGTATTACAGGTCAAAACACACACAGCCTGAAAGGCCACATGTTCTCCAACACATCCGATTTTGTCCCCACTTATCCAGCATTGAAGACTAATTAAATCTCCTTTGTCCTGCTGCACCTGTTAAATATCTCCCCTCCTTGTTTGCTGCTGCTGTTCACACTCTGGGAATAGGGAGGCAGCTAGCCGGAGAGAGAGACAGAGAGAGAGAGAAAGACTGGGAGTGTGTAATTTGGAACCACTGCTGATCTCTGGCCCAATTATTTCACTTGGACACATCCCGTGTCTCTGCCCCTGAAAGCGGTGGCACACGTCTGCTGGAGCGCACACACAATTAAACTTTAGCTATTGAAATGGGAATTAACTTGCTCTAACAACTCAGCAAATTTGAATATTATTGCTGATAACTGAGGACGACGCTGGCAGGCCCCTTTACGGCACTCGGCTGAGGTTCCACTTAAACTTGATGAAGCAGAGAGGTGAGAGATGAAGGCGAGTCCCACGGCTGGCTCCTGTTAGCTTCTCCTCCAACTTACAATGCGTGCACGGACCGGGGATCCTGACGGTACAGGCTCAACAGCTGTCACAGGTTGCAGGTGAAGGACGGGGACACCCTCCTACTGCTGTACCTCACACTGTCTCACTGGTATAAAAACTGACAGCTGCTTTTCCACAAAAAGAAAGGACAGTATGTCATGGACTGCTGAGAGAGGATAAGTCTAATTCAGATTTGACCATGAGGGGAAAAACTTTTCCTTCATTGCAGAAACTATTTATCTACTAATCCACTGACAATTTTTCTGCAGCTATTCTAATCGACGTATGTTTAATTCATTTACAAAGCAAAAACGCTCAACTGTTCCCTCGTTTCAGCTTCTGAAATGTGAAGATTTGCTGCCTTTGCTCCTCCACTGTAATAGTAAATTAAATTTCTGAATTGTGGACTGTTGGTCTAAAAAAAGTCAACGACATCATAAAACTACTAGAGGTATTTTTTGCTTTTTTTTTTTTTTTTTTGACAAATAACAGGCCAAACAGTTTATTGAGTAAATAACTGAATGATTAATATTGAAATTATTCTTTAGTTGTGGCCTCAGAATATTCTATTTTCATAATTTATTCGCTGTTTCAGTTATTTGCAAAATGCCACATAATCGCTGTTTACAAAATCTCTGTTTTGGACTGTCGGTTAAATAAAACAAACATTTACACACATGACCTCGGGCTGTTGGAAATTATAAGCTTCCACCGTTTTCTGAGGAAACAAACTGAAAATAAAAGTAATGATTAGTTGCAGCCGTAAACTGAGAGCTCTCCTTCACAAACTGATAATTATTGAACTCTTTTTCTCTTACAAAGCTGACACAGAAATCTTTGGAGGTCTTTTTGAGATGAGCTCATCATCCAGAGACGTTCATTTCATTGACTTCGCCTTCTTCTTAACCACAAACTGAGCTGAAACATCTGCGATACACCTCAGTGATTACCCGCTGCTTGTTCGGCCGGCCGGCCCTTCTGACTTTTACGTACCATGTCATCCCTCTGATTAAGCTACTGTACATTATTGCTGACAGTGAGGGGGGTTTAATGGATTTTTTTTTTTTTAACATTTCCTATTATGGCTAATCGCTTACAATTGTCTATTACCAATGTGGGATATAGAGTGCTCCTTATAAAGGCGCTAATGGGTATTCATTTGCATCATATTGCTAATGGAGCGGTTTCAGTCGGCTCCAGCACTGAGGAAGGTCAAAGAAGCCGCTGGATGGGGTGATGGAGGAAACTGTCATAAACTAACTATATAAGTGAGGATCTCAGAAGGGTCTGTAGACTCATCAAAAAGGGCTCCGTGTACGTTAACTCCGCATAAAGCTCTTTGCTGTTGTGAAGGCATCCCTGATCCTCATCAATGTTTTGGGTGAAGAGAGAGAAATCTTGATGACCTCATGTCAAACCTTTCGACCTTCAGCAGAGAAGCTTTATGGCGTTATGTCCTCGACAGACACAATGTCAAGAAATCGCTTGTTTCGCAGAAAGGAGACCTAAAACATTTCATACAAGATATTGTTTTTCAACATGGCTGCACAGACATTTTGTCTGGCCTCAGTAGGTAACAAAAACATTCTACTCTAAGTGAGATGCTCAGCATCAACCTAAGCCATTACATGTTCAGAAAGTTATCCACTCATATATTTCTCTGACTAGTTCACATAAATAAATCACCAAATAGATAACCCACAACTGTGTCTAACTGCTACTGAACACAAAGTGACACAGCAGTGTAATAAACATTTTATATCTAGAAAGATGAGCTTTTTTTTTGTTCTTTCTGTTATTTTTTTTCTTTTTAAACAGGCAAGCTTTCTCACTTGCGAGTACAGTTTATCCAGTTCAGCTGAGATTTGTTTGGGATACATCAGGCCTTAGCAGCCATTTCATGGGATCTCTAAACCCTGTGAGCAGTTGAACGTGTCTGTCTCTCGTCTGCTGTGGCAGCAGCCGTGCAGACCTCTGTGTGTCCTCGCAGCCTTTGTTCAGCTGTTTCTAATTGCCATGTAGGCCTGCTTCTGTCAATCCAAGGGTGTTTTGTGCTCATTAGAAAGGGGCAGTAGTCACTTCTAACTACTACACTATGGCTAGCCGACCAGCAGTGTTGTGTCTGTGGTCCAGAGAAGGGCAACTGTGGGACATCTCCTCTGTACCATGTAAGGAAACCAGGTGTTGCTACTCTTCTGTACGTCCACTCGCAGCATCATTCTGTCCAGGAGAAACAAAAAACAGAGGTTGAGCATTAAGGTTAATATCTGATAATAGAAATGAAAGACAAAAAACTTTCTGAGTTCTTCAGATGCTTTTCACCTAATCTTGACATTTTCATCAGGAGTGGTTGATTTGTCATGAAGATGGTTTTGTTGTTATCAGGGAACCTCAGAATGGATTGATCACTCTATATGTAACCCACGTCTTAAACAGGACGACCTCTGTCATCAGGCGATGTAAGCCGTTCTGGTTCAGTTTATAGAACGTTTCTGGTTTTCATTACAGCAAGACTGAACTAACAACAGAAACCAACAACAGCAGCAGACTGTGATCTAGAGGTCATGTCTGGTATAACATGTTGGACTATCTTCTGTAAGTGCAACTTTTAAAAAAGATTCAAACAGTGGATTTGTACTCCTTTGCTGTGACCTCTCACATTATATTGTACACATGTCCCCCTTTTTTTTATTTTGTTGGGGTTCCTTGTCCAGCTACACACAATCTGAGATAAATATGAATGTGACCTGTTGATTGTGTTCATTTATATACGTATACATTAAAGCTGCAGGGATTCTGGAGGCTGAATGCTGACTGTATTTATACATTGTGTTGGTTAGGTTCCCCAGTAAAGTTATTTTTCAGATGACTTATTATTGTTGTCAACCGTTCCTCTTTGCCAAGTTTAATGTTATCTGTTAAATTTATGTATTTTATAGGATTTCTTCATCACAATTGCAGGCTCACCAGCATGTGAAACCTATAAGTCTATGTTTTTTTTAAAAATGCAGTTCTGGGCCATGGAGGTTTTAAGAGAGTTACAGCCGCTCAGTGTTTATGATGGCTTCTCTTTGTACCAAACCATCAGCGTGATGAAGATCTGCCACTGAAACGTCACAAACAAATGCAAGTTACACAGTACACGGTAGACTTTGTAAAACTTTTTGAAATGCTTGTCTGTCTTCTACACACCTGTCTCGTAAAATAAACGTACAAAGAGTTCCTTTGTCCAAAGTCCTATTTTCACCTCCTACGCCAACCATTAAACATTTTGAGCCATTTCAGTAATAGATATACAGAGCATTTGTTACTTGTGAATCGAATCCCAAAAAGTAATTGTCATTAAACAGCACATACCTCTCCGGCTGTTGGTTTTCTTAGATGTATTCTATGACCAGAACCGAGAAAGCTCAGATCCACTTGGGTATCAGACATATTGACACACAGACCCAAAACCTTGAGTAAAATCTGGGTTTCACAAATAACAGTGCAATTGTGAACACCTCTACTGTGACCAATACCAGTTACAGCACTAACTGGAAAAGTGAGTTGACAGATGCCCAGAAAAAGACTGATACGGTCATTCACATGCAACCCCAGATACCATCTGTAAACAGAGACAGATGTACTATTTCACACACATACGTGACCACTATCCATCCATCCATCCATCCATCCATCCATCCATCAGCTATACAGTGTACCGTCTTTATCCATATATAGGGTCATGGAAACGGCACCTATCATCATGTGACTAAATTTCCATTCTGAGGCCTGTGATAACAAAGAAACTATCTCCATGACAACAGAAATACTCCATCTACTTATTAAGGCCTTGAAATGTGGTTTAAATCTATAGAAAAACAAGCAAATAAAGAAAACATGTTTTAGGATCACATATGTAGATTTTTTTTTCAAGCTCTCATACAAATGGAACACATTGTGAAAACAATTAAGAAATGGAGGATATGCTGTTGCTTTATTCTCTCCAAAAAGCCATTTTATAGCCTGGAGTTCACGTCTGCGTCATCAAATTCCACTGAGTTGCCACAGAAGTTGTTTGGGAAAAATTGCCTGGATCCTATTGAACAACACAGACATGCTTTTAGCTTCATGGCTGAAAATGGTCTCAGATTACGATGTGTGCGCTCTGTGCTTCATGTTCCACACTGATCTTTATATAACAACATATTGGCTTGAAAATCAGCTCAAGGCCCAAAAACACAAAAACTAATAAAATGGGGCAGCTTTGCTTTTCAAAAAGCAATCAGATTTACAGGAATATTTTACAAGTCTGTAATTCTTGTAAAGACTTTAAGCCCACCCTGGCTCTATGAATCACATCCACCGAGCCCACTTCTGCTGCCCAAAATAATATAACTACAGTGTAATGGGAAAATAAAAGTTTCCACTTTCCTCACCTTATTGATGTTCTACCTTGTGTTCTTGGAAGGACACTGGAATATTTTTTATCAGCAGAGTGACACACAGGGGCTTTTAGTACTTGAAAGGGTATTCTACTGCACTCTAGAGAGAACGACTAAAATACAAAGTAAATGCGTGACAACACATCTAATAAAAGATCACAAACTCCGCACAAAAATAAGCATAAAAAACTGCAAAAACCCCACTTGCTTTTGGCGGTGCCAGAAGTCATTCTACAACTTTCAAAGAGGTAAACCTGTTCTCCTGTTTTCTGCCTTTGGCAGAACTCTGTGTCTGGCTGCCTTTGTACCATCCATGATGTTAATTAACTCACACCACATGGATGGTGTTGCTTTAATTGGACAAGGTCTTGGCATGCCACTCCGTGGACAGACAGGCCAGGAATAATTTCATAATGTACAATTCTATTATTACCATAGAAAACCAGCCAGCGAGTTCAAAGATGGATGTAAATATGCAGGAGACAGAGCTAGGCTTTGATCATACGCTGACACAAAAAAAACAAGGAAAAAAAATAGCGAAATGCTTTTTCAGCCTTCTGAGTTGAGCAAAGTATAGCTGAGTGTCATTTGCTCTGCAGACAGTGCAGCAGGAGTTTAAGTACTGGCGTTAGCGACGGCTGCCTTTGACCAAAGTGATGTAACAGACAGACTGAGCGGGCGACAGAGTCTGAATTCACTAGACTGGGTGATAACGCTGCTGAGTCACTGAAGGCTGACTGTAAAGAGGCAGTGTTACGATGGCGGGTGAGTCAGGTATATGCTCAATGTGTGACAGATGCCACTTCACATGCACCAGTCTACCCACTGGCTGTGCTCTGTTGGCCCAGTAAGCTGCCACCCTTGAGTGAGTGGGTGGACACTGGCACGAGGGGCTGCTGGAGATCTGTGCCAAGGGATTTACGAAACGTCAAGTGACTCTGTGACATGTTCTGGTTGATGTGCAGTGGTGTCATTTGATGTTGCCCAACATCTAAATCCTCACACTTTTATCTATGACACTTCTGGCTGATGCTCAGCATACATTAAACCAGTGTTGAGTCATGCATTTTTAATTCTGCCACCAAACATGGGCGAAGGAGCATCTTGATTGCACAGCTATTTTTGCACAGTAAGTCATGATCAGCACTGACTAAAGACAAACTAAATTTATTTAAAATATGCAGTGAAGCCAGACTGAGATGACAACAGCAGATCAGATTTATTTCCGTTGTAAGAGGGAGAGTGTCGAGGCAGGCACAGCACACAAGGAATGCAAAGTAAGTGATGATATCAGAGATTCTCACTGCAAGATCCTTTAAAGTTTTCCCTGTCGTGTCAGGATGCCCAGATGAAGACGATGCTTCTCAGTACCACTAATTGCGAGAGGTGGACGATGTGTGGGCACAAACTGGGAACTTGGCCAAACCTTTAATGCCCTAATAGCCATGGGTGGATAACCAGGCTGGGCTGGAGAGCTGCTGAGAACTTCTTGGCAACAGAGCAAGACCTTCCAGGAACAGCTGAGATCAGTGCTGTTTAAGGGCTGGCATGAGAATGCAGCTAAGATGAGCGACGCTAAAATGTTTGTTTTCTTGAGATACTGTAATATCTTACTGAAGAGGTTCCCAATAGCTGTTGTACCACCATGTCCCTGTCAGATGAACTCATGTCCTTTCATTTACACCACCCATCAAATGCCAGATGCAATAATTTAAATGGATTTTAAACAAGGTATTTAAAGGAATGACTTGACATTATGCTGTGAGTAAGATGAGAAAATCAATTTCACAGATCGATAGTTCATCCGGTGTTTGTCCTGGCTATGAATGGGCCTTCGGGCAGTAAGCACGACACGTCCATGTATAGTAAAGGAAGTGAGTCTGCATGACCTTATTTGACAGAAATCTATACATTTTCCTTTTATTTATGATGATTCTTGAAACTTACCTCTGCCCAAATTATGAACAAGTGAATATTGTAGATTCATGTTTGTTTTGTTTTTTTAATTCATGACTGTAGAATTGTTGATGCTTAAGTCTCCTTTCTTTAATCAGGTTTGATCAGGTTTAATTGTGCTTCTTTCCAACTGAATGGAAGGGATTACTTCACCAATTTATCTCTTATTTGCAGCTATTTTGACTTCTCTGCTGGCTTTCAAACCACTGCACAAAGTCGTGCTCTGGTGTTACAATAAAGTTGATTTTAGGTCTGTCCTGTGCAGTCGGGTTATTATAGCTGTGAGATTATTGGGTACTGTGACAACAAATATAGTGAAGATTAAGCTTAGACTAATTTGGAATCCCACTTGTGTGTTTATTTTCTCCCAAACACAAATATGTGGATATTTTTTCCAAAGTCATTATTCAAGCTTTTCAAATTAGCTGAGAAAATGCCTAATGTTTGAACTGCAAAATAACCTCCCACGGTACAAACACCTCTAATTGGGAATCCCTGCATTAGAGGACTCGGGCCTTTGTTCTTTGACATTTGAAACTAGCAGCAATGACTGAAGAGATAAGGCGTACCCAGGCCTTGTATTAATACAGATAAAGATTGACTTTCAGACAGTAGCTTTTGAAATATTGTCTTTTTATTTGTCATTGACAGGGTTTAAGTGCCACATTACCCTGTGAGTAAATTCCCATCAGTTGGCAATTTCCTGCTTGCAGTGCACAGTGCATCCTTCCTATCATGTGAAGATAAACCACAATATCTGACTTGGCAGACCCATTGTTTTGCTCTCGCCTGGTTCGTATATCATTTGGTGAAGAATGAGACGGTTAAGGTTCCTTTATTTGTTCAAACGCAAGTGAATATGTGAATAAGGGATTTTAATAAAGGGTATCCACGGAGAGAAAATAATAACAGTTTCTCAGGCCGCCCACACTGAACCCCCAGCAGATCTGCAGCAGTACATACAGTACCAGCCTGCTCACGTAGCGTTATGGTAAGCAGCAATCCCACACGCTGAATGCCGAGCTGCACTTTCTTTGTATATGTGGAGAAATTATTTGATACTCTTGACTTGCTGTCAGGATTGCTCTGCTGCACTGGTAACCATTTGTGGTGGATTCCTAAGTTGCTGTGCGACGGGGTTGTTTTTAGATGCTGCTGTGCTAGTTGTGGGACTTGACCCCATCTCTGTTTGTTTACATTTGGCCAGCAGATGTTCAACTAAGTGGACCCAGTTTTCTGAGCCATTGCCCTGCGTCCTCTCTGGGGATAAAGATCTGTACCCCCGCAAATAAAACCCGGGCCATCTGATGACACACCGCGTGGGCAACATCAACCGTGGTGTACGTACAGTATTTAGCACATTTATGAAAAAGTGCTAGCATTGTCTGAATCCTGAGAAGTGCTTCATTGTGTGAAACTGCAAACAGGCTATTCTAATCGTGCCCCAGAAAATGCTTGCAGCTGAATTTAGCTCCCAGCATCTGTCACTTTTTTTCTTTTTTTTTTACTGATGTGAGTGATTATAAGCGAGCATTTATAGCTCTTGCTAAATGGTGCCCTGTTTATTAAGGAGCAGTCACACCTTTTATTTTTAGAAAAGATGTTGCACAAGACAATAACACCACTATCTGCCCGGAAGCAGTTCCCATTACTCATCATCAGCATGAATTACCATGAAGTTAGCATGCTCTCGTTTTCCAGGCTCACTTTGACAACGAGCATTTCGCTGCAGATTCAAGCACCTTTTTATAGACATCTTGTGGCTCAAAGCTGGCATCCTGCCAGTAGAGGTCAACCTAGCCAGTCTAGGATTGATGAGTCCTATCATACCAAACTGACTTCACGTCTAATGAGGAGGCTCCGTGGATATGTCCAGTCTTACTTAACCACATTTCCACCAGCAGAGCAGCCCCAGGATCCCTCTGCAGCATCCCAGCTATTCTATCTATGGCTCCCACAGTCCACACTGCTTCTCACAGCCATTTGTCAAATCTCTGCTCACATTAAATTATCATGACCCCAGAGAGATGTCTACCTTTAGGAAGACACTGAGCTCCAGTCAGACAGATAGGGTGCACAGTGTCTGAGACAGAGAACTGAATGAAAAATTGACTGCATGAAAATGTTAGTTTGTTCAGGCTCTGCTGTGTGATTGTGTAGCTATATTATGAAGTTTGAACAATGTCTGGCAAAAGAAGAGAAGTTCCCTGCGGCTACAGTGTGTTATTGTACAGTCCTGGCATCGTAAATCATCTCCTATGTTTTAACAACAGTCACATGCAGCCTAACGCACCTCCTGCGACTGCTCTCAAAGGTAATAAAAAGATAAACTGAAAGGATAGCAGATGGTGTTTTGCCACAGAAGCTCCATGAATGGTTTCTAATGTGACTCAGAGTCGTCTCATTCAGGTTGAGTTAGGCGCCTCAGGCGGCCACTGGAGTCTTCACATTATCCTGTTCTTTTCTATTCATTAATAATGACAGCTCCCTAATGAGCCGGTCAGACTTAAAACCAAGAAATTTCTTCAACCCAAAAATTCTCTTTTATAAAGAAGTAGATGTGGAGACAGAGTGCAGCTATTTTGAGATGAGAGATGCAGATCAGATGTTTTGCAGAAAATTATCCATTAGTGGGCAGAAGGGTGGAATTCTTAAATACTGATAAAGTCTGTAATTTTTAAGGTAATCAGTTAAAGCATCACTGATTGGCTGTGACTGTGTGTGTGCTGCCTGTATCTTGATGTTTGCACTGTGCTCCTAACAAGGAATTCAAGGAAACAGAGAGCCTGATGTTTAGGCTTCCTCGCTGTTGGCTTGGAGAAAATATGCTAAAAATGCTCTAATTTGTCCTCCTAGGCGGTTTCCCTACCATGTAGCCCTCTTTGTAACAAAACAGTGAACACAAAGAAAAATACAAAGACAAGAAAATGAGATCCGAAGAGATACTGTGCAAAAAAGAAATGACGTAAAACAACATTTCCTGAAGGGACCGCTGAATGCGATACGAAGAATCTGTTTCATTCATTGTTTTTCTAAACAACAACAGTGTCTGTACTGGAAATATGCTTATCAGAGCAGAACAAATTATATTGTGCAAAGTTTATGTAACTCATCCTACTATATGGCTGTCGCTTTTGAAGGCTTCAGCTGTTTTGTAGTGTTTTTTGTTTTGTGTTTCTGAGCTATAAAAGAAAGTTTTCAGATATAAACAAACGTGTGCATTTTTTTTTAGACTAGAACCAGACAATTTTACTAGTTTTAGAAATTCTGTAACCATCACTGTGATGTTGTAGCGCCAGCTGGGTTACCTAAATGCGCTGTGGAGGCTTAATTAACAGAAGATCTGAAACAATCATAGTCCTCTTAACCAAATTAAGTTAATTAAAGAGGAAGAGTGCAGCATGTTTCAATAGATAAAACATACGTACATGTGCCTTGAGGCTCACAGTAGTTTACACCTCGTTGTGTGTGTGTTCTTCAGTTCTAAATTGCTTTGTTAAATTAACCGAAAAAAATTCTAAACAAAAATAATGAGGAAAACTTAACTGGTCGCTGTCACGGTATGCAGTTATGACTTTTGGGCAAGGCAACAATCAATGGGACAAAGGCTACAGAAAAGATACAGATATATTTTTTTGGTTCCTAAATGTTACTGTAATTAATTCCAATTAGGGGTCACTTATATTCTGTTGTTCTTTTTCAGAGAAACACAATACTGATTATTTGATTTATGGAATGGATATACAGTAATCATAAAAATAAAAAACCTTGTGTCAAAATTTTCTTTAATTTAACACAAACACAAAACCTTTGTGCAATGCCATTCTTTAATAATGTTTTTTGTATGTTTGATTTAAAGAAAACGTTTCAACATTTATTCTTCAGTGCTCATAGGCTATTAACTGTGATGTGCAACCAATCAGATCAAGCTGTGGGCGGGACTTAGAGAGGTGGCTGCATCAGAGCCTAAGCAGTGGATTTATAAATTAATTTATTTTTTATCAGGAACCAGTTAGAAAACATGCAATACTCCACTAAAAATCACTGAATTGGATTTTGTAATTGGCCAGGCTGATAATCAGTTGACTCCTAATAACAATATTTACTTGATATTATACATGATGTAGTCGCATTTGCTTGTTTGTGCAGTTTTGTGGTGGACATCTGTGCTGAACTGCAGGTTGGCAGTTGTCACATGTCAGGCAGCGACTCACCATGCGGTGGAGGTGTTGTAGGGCAGGAGCGTGGGGCTGTGGCTCTCCCCCCGGAGGCTGTGTCTGGGCTGGTAGTGGCTGGGAACCATGGGCTGGGCCTGGGCCTGGGCTTCACTCTCTTCCGGCATGGACCTGTGCCACTGACTCCGAGCCTTCTTCAGCCAACGTCCTCCCAGACCCCATTTCTCCAGGTAGATCCGGCACAGCTCATAATTTATGGCCGAGTAGTAGAGGAAGTCCAGGGCAAGCAGCACCATGACGAAGAAGCCGTAGATCCACACCCCGACCAGGGCTGTGTAATTACTGCAGGAGAGACAGACTGGGAGTATTAACTCAGAGTAATCTGGGAAAGATGATGATAAACACTCTTCACACGCTCAGAGCCGCCATCCAGATACCCTCAAGCTGGGCCCCTAAATCCCAAAAGCTACGATGCCGCTGCCAGGTGTGACTGTTTGGCGTTCATGTGGCAAGACCAAGACGTTCATCAAATCCTCCCTTGATAAAAACTAGTAGTATAAATAAATATATTAAAACCCTCCATCTGTTCCATTTGCTGCTGCTTAAACTCTCTTTCCTAAATTGGACAAAGAATTTCATTAGCACGAGGGACTTTTTAATCCATCTCATTCTGGCTCCTGCATGGTTTATATGAAAATCGCTGCTCTTATTTTTCACTTCTCATAAATTTTCCTCATGTATTACATGATCCAGCTGGATTTATGTGGGGCACATTTGAACTTTGTCTTAGTCAAACCACATCTATAAAGTACAACACTGGGAATAAGCAGAAATAGCTTAAAAAAAAACCCCAGCTTCCTGATAAGTTTGAGCAGCAGCGTTTGCAAAGGCAGTGATATTAAATCAACTCTGGGTGTGACATTGCGGCTCAAATTGGCACTGAGGGGACAATATCACACAAGTGGATGGAATGAAAAAATATTCTTGGAGACACAGATGACGCAGGATATTACTCCAAAATAGAGATTTATTCGGCGGGAAAGCCATCTTTTATTTTGCCACATGCAATCATTGTGAGTGCAATGATTGGAGCCCTTATAAAAAGTGACGTCCAAGTGACTTCTCGTTCAGTAAATCAAGTGAATCCACTTCTGGCTGGAAATGATGTGGCCTTTGAGATATTTATCTGAAGAAATTGCTTTAAAACAAACATCTGAGCTGCGCGAATGAGCACTCCGGCAGACGAATGTCATTGCTGCACTCAAATCGACGTAACTGCATTTATCTTTCTTCACCTCTGCATCAGAGACATTTGCCCAGAATTTAGTTTCTACATCTTGAACACCTTCCGAGGGACCACCAGGCTTTCCTTGTACGACTGTGTTTGAGTCAGCCTGAGGGGAAGCGGTACGAATACGTGCACAGTCTTTGGAGCAATGGATCATGACCACACAACTAAAAACACCAGTGCTCAATATTTAACACAACTTTCTCAGAGAAAGAAAGCAGATGAAATTGATTGTCTGCCAGAGGTTTTAGCTTTTCTTGTTACCTTTTTCAACATTTATTCTCAGAGGGCTCCTCGATCCATTTCAATTCTGCACTATTTCAGCTGCTGTGTAGCTACACGGAGGGCTGTGGGCTACAATGCACGCAATACACTAGCGGATTCGTCAAAGGTCAAATGCCTTAAATTTTACCTTGAACTGCAGTAAATCTTACACTCTAATACCATTTTCAGCATGCAGAGTGAGAAGGGAGCTGAGTTATGGCCAGTTTGCCTCGCTTGGCCAGTGGTAAATATCAAACCCGCAGTCCTTTTAGCTATTGAGCCCAGATGAAAGAGTGGCCCAACCGGCCATCTGACACTAAAAATGAAATATCATGACCTGCTCCAGGGCAGTGTGAACCGTCTGAGACAGAGGCATGCTGGGAGGGCATTACTACAGAGAGCTGTGGTTTTGTCACCCAAACCTCCTACTGGGAGCTCCCACAGAACAAGAGGCACGTTTGTCTGTGTCCCTCACTGTGTTTAAATCTGCTTATCCCGCAAGCAAGTTACTGTGTCTTCAGGTTTATGCGTCCCCTGTGAAAATCTCTCTCATCGTGGCAATGTGTAGTGCGGTACACTTTTAAATAAAACAACACAGCACTATAATTCTTGCATATTTAATATCTGTACTGTGAAACAGTCAAGTACACTATAGTATTACTCGATATAATAGCCAGCACTTAACACTGGCCTCAGTGAGCGATCATGTGGAGGCGTCCCACTCCCAACACAACAACTGCTTTTAGCATCTGCTCTTCTCTCTGCTGGTTATGAATGCCTCTGTAGGTGCAGATCAATGTCAACGATCTCTCCGAGCAAGAGGCAAACAGTGTCAATGAGCGCGATACCGTCGAGGAAGTAAAACTCTTTGTGAGTCTGCAGAATTAAAACCGACTGTTTTCATCTGATCTGAGGAAATGTCAGCTCTGAAACTGTTTGTTCCGCCACGGCTGCTTACGTAAAACTCCTCAAGATTCAGGACAACATACTTTTCCCTAATTACCTGTGCCTTGGAGGTTATCTTTTGCTCGTGTTTGTTTGTTTGAGTTCTCGCAGGATATTGTTTAAAAGTACAAAACTGATTTCAGTCTAACTTGGTGCAAAGATCCATTAGAGGCTGAGAAGAAAAGCGAATGGCCTTTGGTGTGAAAAGTGCCACAGTGTGACCATTACTGAAGCAATTTAAATTTTGGGCCCTAACAATGAGTCATACGAGTTTATATCTTGCCTCGTTCCATATTTTAAGAATAATGTTATCAGTATAGGTTTTGTCTACATCTGCTGAACTCTGAATGCATATTTTTTAATGGTCTCGAAAAAAGTAAAGACCTGCCATCGTGTTTTCCTATAATATAATAAGTAATATCAGAGGGACATCTTTTTATTCAAAAAAAAGAAAGACTCTTGAATGCATTGAATGGCAGTGGTTCAGTGATCATCCACTTGAGTCAGTTGAAATTATGCACATTTCAGGACAATGGAAAACTGAATATTCTCAGATAAGGTTTGGACAAAACACAAAACCATGACTGCTTGAAAAAAGACCTGACAGCTAGGGCTGTATTTGCACTTTTGTTTCAATATAGGAGAAAAGTTTGCCTTGCAGCAGGGGTGTATGTCATATTAACCAATCAGTAAAGTGGGCTAGTAGTGAGACACTAGGGAGGAATACCAGTCTGATCTGATCATAATGACGACTCAGTATCTGAAAAGCTGTGTGTAGAATTTGGGGTTCGACATTCCAGATGGCAAAGTTACCAAAAAGAATAAGATTCATTGGTAATTTGGTGAAAGTATCTGCCTCAGGGCCAGGTTGTACTCCGTGAGAATTAGGTTGTGTAACCCGCAGTTTGACCAGAGCGGAAATCAAACTTTTTTTATAGCTGTGGAGTAGAGTGGGTAGTTGGCTGTCAGAGAGCAGAGAGCTACCATGATGGATAATAAAACATTTGCACTATAATGACCAGCTCAGATTAAAAATGTAAAGTCTATGAGTGCAACAACTGAAGACTCACCTGCTAGCTTGCCACCCAGTGAGACATCTGTGTCCTCTGCTCAGGACTTTTGGTGAGAAGCTCATAAAAAGGCCATCACCAGTAAGACAGCTAGATTAGGATATATGGCTCGGTTATATGATGCCGCTCAGGAAACAGGAAGGGCAGTCTGAGAGCCCAAATGTCAACGCCCTGTCTTGCATTTTTAAAGAAAGCGATCCTGATCCTCACCTAACTCTAATGTGCTCTTCCTTTGCCCATCTCTCGACCAAGTTTCATAAAAAGTCAGCTTGGTGGTTTTTGCGCAATCTCGCTGACAGACAAGCAAACAAACAGACAAACAAACAAACTCAGCTCTCGCCTTGGCGGAGGATATATGTAGACTAGTCTGGCAGGCGGGGGTGCAATATTTTATATGGATCACGTCCTCAGTTAGTTTGACTGAATTACATGCCAGTTCCCATTCATTTAAAGTCTGAAAATGTGACAAGCTCTTATTTGCTGTGAAAATCTGAGTGTATATTTTTATGTGGGGAGGGGAAAAAAAAACTAAGAATAAATTGATGTGACTTATTATTCAAGTACCAAGTTTGGGATCAGGAGCTTATAAACCTAACTGGAACAGTCGCACTTCTCACCAGGCCCTGTCTTTTTAAAAAACTAAAAACTGAATGTAAAAAATATTTTACGGTCATTTAAAACAGGCAGACACGCGCCGCCCCTGCGCCTGCGAGTCCCGTTTTGTAATGCATCCATGGAGTCACTCAACCTCCAAAACTGCCCATCATCATCATGTGTGTTTTGATGTAGATTAAATACAGAATGAGCATTTTTCTTGTATAAAAATAACAAAGTGGCGTCACTGGCAGAGGTATGTGTCTCTGAGGACTTTCTAGGTCATTTCATTATGACCTAGAAAGTAGATACAGTATGTGCCTATAAAATGACTTCCCCGTTATTAAAGTCACTGCAGCAGGATGCTATTTCTGGTGATTGGGGCATTCCCTACTTTTTTTTCTTTTCCACCTTGTGTTGCTGGAAAACTGGGGATGTACATATTAATGACATTACAAAATTTGCATGTTTGTCTACTTAACATAAATAAAGACCTTCAATTATTTTCTTTAACAAAAAAAGAAATAAAACTATAAAAATACCAAATGAAACAGAACAGGTACTGAACAGGGCAGGCTGACGGCTCGTACATGAGTCAAATTTGGTCAAGTGGATGTTCGATATTATGACTTACTTGTGTGCATAACCGTCTGAGGTGGTGGTGAGGTTGATCTGCATGACCATCTGGAACTCGGTCTCGTTGCAGCAGTACTTGAAGGCGGTGTTGTTGTGGTGACAGCAGAACATGTAGGTCTTGATGTCGGAGAGGCGTGGGCAGTGAAAGCCAAAGTGGTACCGCCCTTTGTGGTCAGAGTAGGGTTCACACACTCGGTAATGAGCTGAGAGGGCTGCAGTGGTGAGGAAGACAAAAAAAGCAAAAAACAGAAAAGTAGATGTTATATTAAGGAGACACATCCCTGCTCATGACCTTAAAGACAAAATTTTGTGTTTGCCTAACAACTCCGAAAAATGACAACCCCTTATTAGATGCCTTTATCGAAAGCCGCTCTCAACGAAATACCCTTCAACCTACAACAACAAAACTCCACAAACATAGTATTGAATGCTTTTTGTTTTCTTGGGAAGCCTCTGAAAAGACATGATTGAAGAGAATTCATCTAACAATAAGCGTGTAGGACAAGGAACAAAAAACAAACTCAGTGTACTTGCAAAAATAATCAGATAGGAGACATCCTATTATGCATGATTGCAAAAGCACTGTCAGTTTTCTTTCTTGCAGGAACACAACGAGCCCCAAAACATAGAATACATTTAATTTATTAGGTCATTATGCAAACACAAGAGTGTCAGTGCTTCTGCTTGGAAACACCAAATATGATTCTCAGACCACATACAGAAATGACTATAGTATATTGTTAATTTATAGATGGTGTTTTTGTTAAAATTCAGAATAAAGAATCACACAGACAATTTTTTTCACCACCATATGATTAAAACGACTGAACTCCAACAAAAAAATGCTGGACTCTCTTTACCTGCTTCATCAAAGCTAAAGTCAGCCTGCAAATGCTACTACTTTTCGTGGCAGCTGGAGTCAAATGTGGCAACGCAGTCAGTTCATTATGGAGCGAGGGAAAGATGTGTGGTACAAATGGTGCCTTGGCTTATTTGCATTCATCTGTGACTTTGCTTTCAAGTCCCTGCAGCGTTAGAGGAAGATAAACCTGTGCATCCTTACCGTCTCCAAAGGGAAAAAATATAGTTTTTGTCACGGAATCCAACAAACGATGAGGTTTTGCTTTAATGTGAAATCGCAGGAATCTACTTCAAAAGCAGTCCAGGCTACATGCTATCAGAGAATGATCGAAAATCACCCTAATAACTACGATGGCATTTGTGTCAGAGGTTGCCTGGGTAAATTATTCAGTAGTATTCTACATATAACATACCAGATTTCCTTTACCAACACAGCACCTTGATTACAAATCTAATTGGCTTCTTTCCAAAGTACCAATGACCATGTATATACATTTTCCACTTTGGTTAACAAGCATGTACACGAAACAAGAGATGGTAACAGATTCATGTTTTATTGATTTTAAGAAAACTTTTGATTCTATTTGGCATCGTAAGGCCTCTATTACAGACTTCTACATGGTGCTATAGGGGAAAAAAAATGTATGCTCTCGTAGAAGCCAATAATGCAACAACAGCCGATAATGCAACAATGGCCGATAACGTAATAAGTCTGCACTTTTTAAAATATAAAAGGCCAATAACTGAATAAAAGTCCAGAACCGATAACGTAAAAAGTTATTTTGTGATTGGCCAAAAGTTATTATGTTATCGGTTCAGGACTTTTATTATGTTATTGGCCAGTTATTACGTTATTGGCCTATTACACTTTAAAAATAACAAATTTATTACGTTATCGTCCGTTATTACGTTTTTGGCTTCTGCAGATCTGATCAAACCAACATCTGGTAAAAGGCGTGCTGTTAAAATTGAAACAAATAAACTTGAACTTTCACCAAGAAAAGAGGTGTTAAGCTAAGATAAAAAAAACTTTGGTGCCACATATTGCCCAGAAAAACAAAATGACATAAGCAGTGCCTGCAAAGTAGAAAAGTAATAGGATACAAGTACGGTGCAGTACTGAAATAAAACAAGCAGGCTAACATAAGGCTAGAAAAAACAGTAATGCAGGCAAATATACTGAAGTGTTCATCAGGGTTGCAATTTGAGTATGATATTTGATGTGATGCTCCTGACCTCGCCCTCCTAGATAGAGAGGTGACATCTTTTTGTTACGGAGATGACCTTGCTCTAATGTTTCCTACTGAACAAGGAGTGCAACAACAGCTGGACGCAGTAGAAAGGTACTGTCAAACCGAGCCCTGGCAGCAAACACGGAGAAAACTAATAGAATGATTTTTCAAAAAACGCCCCAGATGTCCCGACTCTAGTTCACCGTAATCGTATCACTGAATCAAGCGAGAGTTACACCTACAACGCTGCTTTCCAAAACAACAATCAGAGCAAACCAAATTACGACAAAATGTCAGGAAATCTATTTAGAAAGCTGGAAAGAAGAACTGAAAAGCCAAAGTATGTAAAATGTTTTTTTTTTGGCCCTAAAAAGAGATTTGGCAGAGTAGATGTGTACTGAGGCAGTCTTGATTTGGTGAGCACAAACTAGGGATTGATAAAGGGAGACAACCGAAAGCAGACAGAATCTATGATGGCTGCTCGACAGGTGAGGTTGAGACGGAGATACATTTCAACATAAAACATTTAATGAAATAAGGAACCTCTACTTTAACTAGCTTAACTCTGTAATTTCAGATTCTAAAGAGCCAAAATGAGGAACCAAAAATACACATAGGAGAAGGAAACAGGGCACATCGAGCTGCCCAATATGCATGAAATGCCACAACCTCAGGGACAAGGACTGACCTACAAACAGGCAGCACATATACGTCTGCATATGATATACTGTACAAGATTAAAATATATCACCCTTAATGCTCTATTACTGTTCATATTACTGCTATTTCATAAAGATTTGGATTTTTTTGCTTTGGCAACATTTGGCAATATTCTATGCCAATAAAGCCCCTTTAAATTAAACTGAAATAAAGTTGATGGTTATTGCAGCATGTCATAATCGACTCGGACACATCCACTTGTTCATCACCCTCATAGTTAATCAATATCACCATCCAAGCATCCTTTCACTCTCTATTACTAATAATAAGACCAAGAATGAATGCCGCGGTTTGCCTGGAGACAGCTGTGCTGCAGTGGTATAAAAACTGCATAAAATCATTCTTTATCCTCTCCCCCTGCCCTAAATATGTGCTCATTCACTTACTCATAGGCATAAGTAGGCTGGGAAACACATACAGGCTAATAAACCTATACACTGCTACTGCTGCCTGTGTTCCTGTGATTTATGCACTGCGCTTGAATTGTATTTACTAGATTTTATTTGACCTTTGTTTAAACAGAAAAGGCCTCATTAAAATTCTTATCCTATTTGGACCATGAGAAGCAACAAAAACAGGGAGACACCGACAAAAACAGAAGACAGTTGATGCAAAACATGCCACAAATCAGTGGTGGACAGAAGTGTCATTATGATATTAAAAAATATTTACAGAACACAACAGAAGTGAGTGCAGCCCTGTGCAATATGAGCTAAATCGCATCATCTTGCAGTAACCGCATCACATCTGAGTTGAACAGTAAAGTATTTGCTCTTATGTCAAATAAAAAAGTAACGATTTACTACATTTAAAATGCAGGCCTCACAGTAGGACTTCAATGCAACAGAAGTCAGCACATCTTTCTTTTTTTCAATACTTTGTTGGTTCACCTTCATTTTTGGTGACAAACTTAATCCTCCACAGCATGAAGGATACCGGCATTGCAATTTTCTGTAGAGATGTTCTGCCGCTCTTGTTTTTTCATCTGCTCTTTCCTGGAGAAATTGTGTTGTTCTGCCTTTTCTTTAAAATACTCCACATGTGTTGTATTAGATTCGAGTCAGGCGATATTCTTGGCCAGGTCATAGTTTTCACAATTTCCTTCTTTAGAAACTCTTGCCGGAATATTGCTCTCTGGCAGTGCTTCTGCAGACTGGGAGTCATTTTGGTATCTACAAGTATTCATGGCACCAACTATAAATGTCATCTCCCCAACAGCTTTTGCGCTGATGCAGCCCCATATCATCAGCCTCCAACCTTCGTGCTTCACTGTCAGGACTATGTATTCACTGTGATCGTCCAAGCCAGATTCACACCAAACATGCTGGACGTCATCTGAGCTGAACAGATATAATTTGACCATCATTTGACCAAATAATGTGCTCCCAATATTGATCAGCCTTCTTTTCATGCTCTTTTTAACTTTAATCTTGAGCTTTGTAACACGCTGTCCATAAAGGTCGACGGTGCATGATGATGTTTTATTGCACTATCCGTCATACTGAAACTCTAATTTCCGCTGATAACCACCAAGTCTGAGCAAGTTCTGGGGCTCAAATGCCATTTTATGATAATTTTTGTGCAGTTAATCAAAAATCACAGTGTTTATAGGGTTTCTAACTTGTGTGTCAGCGATCACAGACAAATTTACTTTTAATGCATTGAGTTTCTACTTTAGGGCTTGTATTTTCAAAATAGTTTTTCTAAAGTATTTGTGTTTGATTGTTCATAATAGCGAATAGTCCACCGTCAGCTTAAAAATATTGTATGTATTGAGCGGTTTTAAATGATACTGTACTTAGGTCTGTTGTATACTATATATTCTGGAAACCTAAATGGTACCCTAAAACATACCAAGAGATGTCTAAAACACTAAAAATAAAACTTAGCAAGACTAACACGTTTAGTTTTCAAAATGCCACTAAGAATTGGCAGCAAAGAGTGTGACCAACGAATGTGCTGAATTGGACATTTTACAGTTGAAAAATAAACCCGTCTTTACTCTCCGGTGGATAGCTTATGTGACACAGTTTGTAAATTACCTTAAATGAAGCTTTGGCATTTCTTTTTAACTTATTTAAAGACATGATTTGAGTCACTCTGGCTCGAATTGTGACATTTGCTGATCCAATAATATTTGTATCTTCTTTGATTTCTTTTTCCTTGATAATTCTCAGTATAATCATAAATTAAATGACGCCACTCCATGTGAAGTGCACTTAAACTTTTTTATTAAAAAATCATTCTTTTTTTAGTAAATGACTTGCCTTTATCTTGTGCATTTCCCTTTATCAATGGAGCCTATAAAATCTGGCAGGGTTTTCAGTTAAAGTGTTGTTACTGTGATTTAGTTCAAGGTCCTCCTATGCTGCGGGGTGATAGAAGTCTTTCACTAATCTCAGACAGAGACAGATCAGCATTTGAAAGAGAGCTCTTTCAGGTTATAATGAGCTTGGTGAGGCCAGCCAGCTCCACTTCAACAATCCTTATTTTAGCACGAGGGGGAGTAAAATGAAGCAGTCCTGAAGGACACAGCAGGATTAGAAGTCAAGGATGGCTTTTCGTTGAACAAAACACTTTGTTTGACCCTTGCATTGGCTATACAAGTCAGTGAAATGGTTCTGCCATCAGCTCATGCTTTTTATGTCCCATAAAGCGCTGCACCAAAAAGGAGAGGGTCAGCAGTTGTAGGTAAGTGAACAGGCAGTGAGGAAACAGAGGCCCTCAGTGTCGGAAGTGGACCGTAAAGTCCTCTAACGATGCACAACTGGAAGGAGAATAGTTCAGGGGAAGTCTCTGGATTCCTAAATGAACAACAGCTGCTTGTGGAAATGATACAGTTGTAAACACACCCACCTGCTTAATTTCATTAACACCTCTTGAAATTTAGGATACAGTTAACAGCTTGGCTCTTGCATTAGAGTTTGTTTACACCCTGCGGTCTGAAAACCGCCATGGCTCTCTGTCAGTGGAGCAAGCACGCAACATCTGAACATCAGTCGGTGCTCGCACGTCGTATTTATTCATTTATGGCTGCAGTCACATCTGCAGTTTGTTGTCTGTCTTTGTTCTGAAACATAAAAGTTAGCGTTGTTGTATTTCATTCGGCGCTCGTGTACCAGAAAATGAAATCATGCTGAGTCACAAGTAAGTCGACTGAATTCAGGTGGATTTTCGGTAAGCTGTAAAACCTCATTTTCACATCCCCTTTTCTTTAGCTAAACACGAAGAACTCTGTGTACCATTTAGGTGTTATTAATACATGGAAAACAGCTTTGAAAAATGAACTCATTTTGGCTTCTGGGAAATTTTAGTGACCTTTTTACATGTATGATGACAAAATAAACCCAAACTATTTTAAGACTACAGTAACTTATATTTTAATTAGTTATTTTCATAGCAATAAAATCCACAAATAGAGATACATTGTCTCTTCTTCTTACACCTTAAGCCTATTCTTTTCTGTGGTCTGTAACGTTAACGACAACAGCATTCTTTTACTTTTGACAAAAAAATACTGTACAAATCTTTGATATAACCTTGTACTCCACACCCCTGAATTATTAGATTGTGGGGAGTCATATTTCATCTTTTCTGACTGCCAAGGACAGTAAAAATTCAGGTAGTAAGTCTTGTTTCTGGCAGTCATCCAGAATTCATAGCCATCCTGTCTTTGGACTTGTTATTTGAAAAGAAACATGGTTCTCTGGGTTTGATGTATACTTTTGTATAGGTGAACATGGCCATTTTGAAGTTGAAAGTGAGCTGCTGTGCTGCTTCTTAATGAGGTGGTCCTTCACATCAGTCACACTCTCCCTCCTCTGATTATTATGAGTTTTCAACCTGCTGTACGCCTCCTGTTAGCTCTTGTACAGATCTCTCTCTCTAACACACCTTCCTTCTGTTGCCCTATTTTGTCATTTTCAGACTTGAGTCGGCATCTTTTCCCTTGTGCATAATGTGTGTTTCATATCTCAGAGCTATGTGTTGGCGGGGTTCTTCTCTTTGTAGCTTCTAGGGTTATAATGTGCTCTCTTCACAGTTTACGCTGTATGGCCTCATTTAGCGAGCACCCTAAGGTTCAGAGATTTTCCTGCCAAGGAAAAGTAAGTTGTTGGCAGTAAGTGTTTTAAAGTGCCTTGATGTTAAGTGTTTCTGACTCAACTTGTGGACATCAGATGTCAACATGTATTTCCTTCTATCCATAGAACATTGTTGGGGGGTTTGCTTTCTGTATTTAGCTTGTGGCGCTGGTGGCTCACTCAGCGTGGGACTGAGACTCACATTTTGGGGAATACAAAATTTGTGGAAAGTGCTTCTAAGCATGTGTAATATGAGCACACCGTGAAACGCTTATGTAAGTAAAAAAAAAGAAAGAAAGAAAGAAAATGAGAACTTTTAAGGGCCAGATAAGCAGTGTCAGTGAGTGACACACACTAAACTTCACAGACCTGCAGTAGACAGCAGGAGGAAGATGACCGTCAGGACATTGAAGGACTGCCGACTGGTGATAGTCATCTTCTTGTCCTCATGTGGGAGGGAGGGAGGGAGCAGGAGGGGAGGGAGGAGAGAGGGGAAGGGCTGTTCTGCTTTAGCTGGACGTGGGCATCCTCTGCTCGCTGACAGCTCCTCTCACATGGCTGCTGCTGGGAGTCAGGACTCCTGATGGGAACAAGACAAGCAGGGAGAGGAGAGATTAAGATATTTGATTTGGATTTCTGGAAGCTCCACCCAACTGTTTGGACAGCTTGTCTGGCAGTGAGCACCCATGATGCCTTCTGAAATCTGTCCTTAGGCTTACATAACAGGACCGCTTGGGCATTTAGTTTAATTGAATTTGGCACTCTGACAAGTCCGAAGCTCAAGGTTGTTCCATGATGAAACTGTTGACTAATCATTTAGTTTACTATCAAATAAATGGCAGACAACTGTTTGATATAAAATAATTACTTGAGTCTTCAAATGAATGTGACAGAAATGGGAAGTTCCAGCCTATCAGATTGCTGTTTTCTGTTGTTCATAATCTACCAGTCAAGACATTTAAAGCACCGACCAGTGAAGTGAATAACATTAACCATCTTATTGCAGCTACCCATTACCACCATCTAAACACTGTTCCAATGTGAAAAAAATGGTTTTCTAAAAAGACCGGGCCAAGTGAGAAGTGCAAATATTCCAGTTAGGTTCTATGCTCCTGATCACAAACTTAGTTCTTGATATTGAGTCACATCCATTTATTCTTGTTTTGATTCTCACAGAATATAACAGCTATCACATCAACTCAAGTTCGAATGAATTCGAAGGAGCACAAAATTTCTTAAGACTAACATAGACGCAATCCATGTACAGTATTACACCCCAGCCCTATTATAATCTTCATACATGGAGTGAACAATGTTGATCATCTCACTACAAAGCAATCTCCTGGCATTCCTATCAATATAACTTTGACACGCACCACCCACCTAAACATTGTTGCAGATCAAGCACAGCCTCTCATGACCACAGCCCCAACTGCAGCAGCCTCCTCCAGCAGAATACTGTGTCCTGCCACCACAACAGCTATTCAGAATCAGTTCAAAGAAAACACAACAAAGTGCCTGAGATGCTGCCCCAGCCTCAGGTCCAACAAGTATCCATGGAATGCACTGGAACAATCCTGATCTATGGAAGCACTACCCAGCAACCTCCAGAACCCAAAGGTTCTGCTGCCAACGGCCCAGTAAAAACACCATCCATCCATCCATCCATCCATCATCTATACACCACTAAATCGTCACTAGGGTTGTGGGGGGGGCTGGAGCCTATCAGGGCAAAGGCAGGGGACACCCTGGACAGGTCACCAGTCTATCACAGGGCCACACTTAAAGACAGACAACCAAGCACACTCACATTCACACCTACGGACAATTTAGAGTCACCAATTAACCTCAACAAGTTTTTGGACCTTGTGGGAGGAAACCAGAGAACCCGGAGAGAACCCATGCTGCACGGAGAGAACATGCAAACTCCACACAGAAAGATCCCAGGTGTCCTAACTGGGACACAAACCAGCAACCTTTTATCTGCGAGGTGAAAGTGCTAACCCACCGAGCCACCTTGCAGTCAGTAAAAACACCAATTAATTGATATCTTAATAAGTTCCAAGAAGCTTCTAGGAAAGAAGGGAAAGTAGAGACAACTCCTCGTCCAAACAAGATCAGCAGAATGTGCAAAAAATAAAAAAACTGTCCACAAGCAAGCATATGAATTAACATAGTTGTTTTATTTGCTTTCCAACAATAAATAAATAAAAGATACAGTTAAATTACAGTTAAATTGTGCTTTTTTTTCATGGTATTTATTATTTTCTTTATAATTAGTACTGACTCACATTGTTCCAGCTTCTAAAATGTTGTATTTTGCTTTCTTTTTTCCAAGATTTTTTCCAAATTACAAAATTGCGGACCCAAAAACAAGGTGTTAGTTGAACTAATTTCATCTTTTGACTACCCTACTAGAACATATAATGCTTACTGATGCATCACATCACCAAAGCAAAACATTAAGATCAGAATGAACAATGAGTGTCAAACATATTTCTCTTCCAAATGTTTTTTGTCTAAAAATTATCAAGTTTCTTCCATTGAGAACTAAGATTAAAAAAACATCTAGCAGCCAGCAGATATTTAATTCTATAACTGCTCGGCAATCAAGAAAAATGCTACACGTGCACTAAAAGTGTGGCGTTCTGAGAGAAAGTGATGTTTTTACCAAATATTTAATGAATTACACTGAATGTGCTCCTTCAGCACAGTGCAGAGTTTTCACTGCAGAACTGCTGAGGAGCACTTTGCTTGAAAGTGATGCATTGTGGGAGTTCATGAATCCTCCATCCACAGTATTGCTTCACAGCTACCGTTGGAAACACCGTCATAGCGATCTCTCCACTGATGATAAGTGAGATTAATGGGGTGGCGGCACATTTTGCTTAGACACGCTTGTTTCTGTTCTTTGGCAAATTTATTCCTTGAGGAAATTACACATTAATGGTCCCTGTCTCTGCATTAGTTAAAGGTGATGTTTATGGTAATTTATTGCAAACTCTGTCAATGAACCCTTTGCACGTGGTCCTGGTTTTACTCTGTTAATGTGAAAAACAACTTGTGTTTGAATTTGACTTGATGTTACTTGTGTCAGCCACCGACACAACATGTAACTGTATCAGCCTTTGAAAATGACCACAAATTGAGCATTGAACTCTTTTGTTGCATATATGTGTGGAGAAACCTAAACATCCTCTTTGCACAAGCTGCATGGAAACTATTACAAAACTTGTCTTTTGAATTATTGAGGAGCTGACGGCGGCTGACAGCGGAATGAAAACCACATATAAAACGCAACAACAAGGGTGTAGAAGGCCATCAGTGTTCTTTCTCTTGTGATGAAAAAGAATGTAATGGTGGATCACATCCAGTTTAATGTTGCATCACCACCCTCTACTGTCTTTTTTTCTTGAACTATTTGCAAGCTGTTTTGGCAAACCCTCAGAGCCAAGTATGGTGCGGACAAAGCTCGATTTGGAATGAGATTGGAAAACGTCCTTTCTTTGACGTTAACAGACAATCAGAAAGAGAAGGAGGCTGGTGGAGCGCTGCCTCTCCACAAATGCGTTTTCTCAGAAATATAAAGACAACGCTTTGCTCACCGGGCCAGACATGCCAGGTTCTACATGCTTTTATAGACCGGCTATCTTTTGAAGTTGAGGTGATAATGTGGTAGTGAGAAGGAGGTGATAAAGTTGAAATATTCAGTGGTGCAAGAGATCAGCAACAGGTTACATTGAAAAAAAAGCATTTGCAGGTTTCACACAAGTAGCCACATTTTCTGGTGTGAGTTCAGTGCCAGCTGTGAAGTGGAGGTGTGGGAAGTGTTTGTTTGACTGTTTTTTTTGTTTGAGATTTCCATTCCGTTATCTTTAAAGGTTGAGCTGCATGATTTAGATGATTTTTGCTCTGGAAGTATTATGTTGGTTGATTATTTGTTTTTTTTTTTTAGCAAAATATCAAACATATAACAGTCGTCGGTTCTCAAATGTGAGGGTTTGTTTTGACCCTACATGACAATAAATGAAACATTCTTTAGGTTTAATAGTCAGACATTTCATGGCATCATCTTGTGCTTTGGAATATTATGTAGACATTTTTCACTTCTTCTTAACTAATTGGGAAAATAGTCTGGAGATAAACCTGTAATGAAAGTAACTGTTGGTGATGTACGTTTAAAAGGCACATTGTCAATGTTACTGCTTATACAGAGGTTCAACCAGGCTGTTTGTGGAGAAGGGAGCACTTGACAATTTTCACAGCTTTCACACCTCTTGCACATATGACCGGTTGATGCAGAAAGCAGCATGTCTACCGTCGACTCTCTTTTCAGGCTGGCTGAACAACACCCATAGGAGAATATACCACTGTCCTCGCTCTGGTTAGAACACAGCCGCTTGCTGGTTATAAATATGGTATGTAACCATATGAATCATGTATAACTGAAAAAACTCTGCCTGTTTAATTGAGCCTCAGTGGATGAACAAATGTATTGCAGCAAACCAAAGCTGTGCAAACAACTTAGAATCCCTTGACTTATCAGTTATTCTCTGTTTTTTCTACCTGTCCTGCTCCATCTCCTTTTTGTAACCATGCTTCTTATGCAATCCAGACATCATAGGGGGATGGTTGCACATGAGCATATACAACGTGGTAACTATATATGCACGTGAAGCACAGCAGGCTGTTTCTGCCGAAGTCTTTAAAAGCATTTTTGATCAGAAAAGCTGTTCCCTCTCCAGAAAGCCAGGCAGCTGAAGTCCCATGGGACTTGTTAGAGTGGCATTTCTTTTTTTTTTTTTTCCCTAGTCTTTTTATTTCTGGTGAGAGCTTTAGTATACAGTCAGATGACAACATGCAAAGTACAACGAGGGATTCCCATCTTTTGAAATCCCCCCACAAGCCAACTCTTCCTTTCCTACCGCTGTGGTCCTTTACAAGGCTTTTATATATGTTTTTTCTTGGCTTCCCTGCATTTTCGCACGAAGTCACATTATTGCCACGTTGCTCCCTGCGCCGTACAGGCTATAAGAGGGTAAGGTTCACTTCATCTCAGCGCAGGGCTTGTTTGCAAAGAAGTGAATGTTGAAGGGTTTGTGTAATGAGCCTGATGGTAGCGAAGCAGAACATGTACTGTAAATACACAGACGTGCACGCAGCATAGTACACAGTGCAAAGCTCCCTCCGACCGAAAATAGAACATACTGCTGAGCCGAACAGGCATGCAACACAGATGGAGGGTCTAGCTTCTTGCTGTTTATGTCTCAGATCAAACTAAAATATACATAAAGACCATGGCAACACCGTGTTACCAGCCTCCGAGTAAATGTAAAGGCCGCCGTACGGAGGAAATATGCAAAAAATTAACGGACTCCTGCGGTCATCAAAGGCGTGTTTCCTGCAAGAAGAAGGAAATATTAAGTGACCAATTACTGCAGCAACCACTGTGAATCTAACAGCACACTTTTCATCACAACACAGCGAGAGACCCAAATCTGTCAGGGGGTTTGATGAGGGAAAGTGCAGTGGAAGATTTTTTTTTGGGCTATTTGGAGATTACACATAATGATAAGATGG